TCCGCATGCGTCCCCACACCCATTTCGGCACACCCCTCACACGTTTCGTGGCCCCATAGGGAGCTCCACCGAAGGCCCCAGTGCTGCCGTCCGCATGCGTCCCGCACACCCATTTCGGCACACCCCTCACACGTTTCGTGGCCCCATAGGGAGCTCCACCGAAGGCCCCAGTGCCCCGCCCGCATGCGTCACACCCATTTCGGCACACCCCTCACACGTTTTCGTGGCCCCAAAGCTCCACCGAAGGCCCCAGTGCTGCCGTCCGCATGCGTCCCGCACACCCATTTCGGCACACCCCTCACACGTTTCGTGGCCCCATAGGGAGCTCCACCGAAGGCCCCATGGCTGCCGTCCGCATGCGTCCCGCACACCCATTTCGGCACACCCCTCACACGTTTCGTGGCCCCACAGGGAGCTCCACCGAAGGCCCCAGTGCTGCCGTCCGCATGCGTCCCGCACACCCATTTCGGCACACCCCTCACACGTTTCGTGGCCCCATAGGGAGCTCCACCGAAGGCCCCAGGGCTGCCGTCCGCATGCGTCCCGCATGCACACCATTTCGGCACACCCCTCACACGTTTCGTGGCCCCACAGGGAGCTCCACCGAAGGCCCCAGTGCTGCCGTCCGCATGCGTCCCGCACACCCATTTCGGCACACCCCTCACACGTTTCGTGGCCCCATAGGGAGCTCCACCGAAGGCCCCATGGCTGCCGTCCGCATGCGTCCCGCACACCCATTTCGGCACACCCCTCACACGTTTCGTGGCCCCACAGGGAGCTCCACCGAAGGCCCCAGTGCTGCCGTCCGCATGCGTCCCGCACACCCATTTCGGCACACCCCTCACACGTTTCGTGGCCCCATAGGGAGCTCCACCGAAGGCCCCATGGCTGCCGTCCGCATGCGTCCCGCACACCCATTTCGGCACACCCCTCACACGTTTCGTGGCCCCACAGGGAGCTCCACCGAAGGCCCCATGGCTGCCGTCCGCATGCGTCCCGCACACCCATTTCGGCACACCCCTCACACGTTTCGTGGCCCCACAGGGAGCTCCACCGAAGGCCCCAGTGCTGCCGTCCGCATGCGTCCCGCACACCCATTTCGGCACACCCCTCACACGTTTCGTGGCCCCATAGGGAGCTCCACCGAAGGCCCCATGGTTGCCGTCCGCATGCGTCCCGCACACCCATTTCGGCACACCCCTCACACGTTTCGTGGCCCCACAGGGAGCTCCACCGAAGGCCCCAGTGCTGCCGTCCGCATGCGTCCCGCACACCCATTTCGGCACACCCCTCACACGTTTCGTGGCCCCATAGGGAGCTCCACCGAAGGCCCCATGGCTGCCGTCCGCATGCGTCCCGCACACCCATTTCGGCACACCCCTCACACGTTTCGTGGCCCCACAGGGAGCTCCACCGAAGGCCCCAGTGCTGCCGTCCGCATGCGTCCCGCACACCAGGTGTGTGGCGTGCCGACATGGGCGTCGCGGCGCGCGGGCGCTGCCGTCGGGGTTCCCAGGGAAGCCCCCTGCAGAGGCGACGCTCAGAGTCACGAGTACCGAGAGTCACGCAGACCCAAACTGTTCACAGTCGTATACATACATTTACACTGGGCGTATCCATGCACGCATTCATGCGAATAGAATCAATCGCGCGCAGATTCATTCATAATCAGACTCGCTCGCGATCCGACTCGCACGCGCTCAAGCTTTCATATTCGGACCTATCGTCTTCGTTCGTGTTGTGTACACTGCCACGCATTTCGGCACACCCCTCATACGGCTCGTGGCCCCATAGGGAGCGCCACCGAAGAAGATATTCACAATTGCGGTACTCTCAACTGCATATGGTTGGGTCCTTCGCCAGGCTAATTTGCAATCCTTCTTTTTTTGCAATCCTTCGTTTTTTTTGCAATCCTTCGTGAAAGAGAGAGACGAAGGCCGCGCGGGGAGCGGGGGCCGCACTCGGAACGTCTAGTCCTCGTGCGGGTGCCGGAAGCGCACGATGAGGTGCAGGGCGTGGAGAACAAGCAGTGACTGCAAAAAAACCGAAGGATTGCAAACAAGCAGTGATTGCAGTGGTTTTGTTGCAATCCTTCGTGCAAGGTTTTTTTGCAATCCAGGTTTTTTTTTTTTGCAATCCTGGGCTTTTTTGCAATCGCATGATCTTTTGGAGGTCCGCCCCGCGGGCCGCACCGACTGCTCACGGCGGACGTCTTCCGCCTCTGAGTGCTCGCCCTCCCCCCCGCCCGCGGCCGTCCTGTCCTTCTTCTCCCCTCCCCCCGCATGCCGGCCACTTCGCTTTGTCGTGCCCCTGCATCGCCGCCACGCTGGAGCGGATGGCCCCGCCGCGCCGCCGACGGAAAATAATTGGAGGCCCGCGCGGCTTCCTTGGGTCCGCGCTGGACCCCCCCCCTCCCCGGCCCGCGAAGCGCGCCAGGGGGCGGCGCCGGAGGCGCTGCCCCGGCGGGCCCGGCGCCGATGCGAGAGCTCCGCGCGGGCCTCCGGAAGTTCACGCAGATGTCGTCGCATGTTCCTCTAATCGAGGGCCTCGGGGCCCGTGCGGGGTCAGGAGCAGGTCCACTACGCGATGTCTATGCACCCACCACGCAGTCGCAGATGTCGGCCCAAGCACAGTGTCAATGAATGTTGTTCCGCACCTGTCGCCCGGAGAAGTGGCCCCCATAAAATCTACACAAGATGGTGTCCCGTGGCGTTTCTGCGTACTCCTCTTCCTATATTTTTGCCAGCCCAGGCGGGCGGACCCCCCCTCCAAAAAAAAACGGACTCCCGGGACCTGGGGCTTTGGGACCATCTGGACGGGCCTCGAAGCGGTCCCCAGGCCTCGCAGGGTGTTTTGCCAAGCTTTCCCAGCACACCTAGGGCGATCAGGGGGGTCATCGGAGACGTCGCAGAGACCCCCAAGACAAGACAGCACAAGAGCGCTCCAAGAGTGACCGACGTAACCTCAAGATGGTTCAAGAGGCCTCCAGGACGGCCCCAAAGAGGCCTCCAAGAGCACTCCCAAGAAGGCCCCCAGAGGCAACCGTAGCCATTTTGGCTCAAGACATTGTGGCAACTCTTCAGGAATAGGGAACATTTGGTTTGCGCCTATTGCTGCCAAGCCCCTGTTACTCCGCCGTTGCCGCAATGAACGTCGTGGTGCTTGCGGGAGCGTTCGCCATCCTGCTCGTCGGCCGCGGCTGCGTTGCCGCCGATGACGTAGCCAAGACCTCGGAGGAACGCTGCCTGATGGAGGACGATTCGCACAACTGCGACGCCACGAACGAGGCCGACGGCGTGGGGCTACTCCAGTCACGGGCGTCGGGCCCCAGCGAACCGCAAATCGCGAACATTTGGAAGGACGAGACGCCGGACCACAAACAATATGAGGAGGCGAGAGTGGAGGATACACCGATCGATGTCCAGAACCTCAACTCTACCATGCATCGCCAGCATAAACATCCTGGCGACGTGCATCTCCGTTCCTCGGAGGAGTGTAAGAAGAAGTGCCCTCAAAACACTCATTGCTGCGTCCAGCTCTTCGAGTCGTCTACCACTTGCTGTGTGGATGGTAGTGGTGACATTGCTCCAGGATATAGGTGCGCATGGGGACAGATAAACGCGTGCACAAAGGGGTATTGTTGTAGCTTTCACAGTAAATGTGTCCCGTGCTAGCTCAATTGTCCTCTTCTGAATCCCGCTCGGTTTGACGTCCTGCCCGCTCGTATAATAACCTGCGCGCTCATTTCAAAGTCGCGGTCGCCGGGTCTGTCCGCCCGGCGCGACCCCAGCGAAGCGAGATTGTCACGCCTTTCTGCTCACGCCCCAGCACGCATGGCAGCTATTTCGCCATCGAGCCGTGCTTGTTATTTCTGCACACTTTTGTACAGGCCCAGAATCAGTGTTAGATCGGCCCTACAGTAGGGATTGGGCGATTTTTGTTAGTGCACCCTCCGTCTTCCATCGCTCTGTTCTGCCATTCTCCTCTCTCTGGTCCACGGTGACCCGGGCCCTCTCCGGAATGTGCGGGGGGGGGAAGCCTCGAAAACCGCCTGCAGACGCCCGGCCAGGCAACGCTCGCGCAGTGCCGCTCCGCCACCTCGAAAAAAAAAGGCCCCCAGAGGCAAACATTATTGATTTTCTATGTTTTTTTTTTTTTTTTTTTTTTTTTTTTTTTTTTTTTTTTTTTTTTTTTTTTTTTTTTTTTTTTTTTGTGAATTTTGAGGTTATCCTCTTTTCGGCTTCCCAACGCTCCACGACGGCGGTCTTCTGGGCGTCCGAAGCCGCCTGGGAGGCTCCAAAATCGCCCCACAATCATCCAAAAGGGTTTCCAGGCAGTCCAAGAGGGCCCCGAAACGGCACAACACGGGTCCAAGATGGCCCTCAGAGAGCCCCATGGCGGCCCAAGATGGCCTAAAGACACCCTCCGAAGCATTCCAAATCGTGACCCGGTCGTTCAGGGAGACCGCGGTTGGAGGCAGGGTGGCCCGAGGAAGCCCCCAGAGGCCCCCAGAATACGCCGAGGAGGCCTCCAGAAGGCCTCAAGAAAGCCTGAAACAACTTTTGTGAGGCCCCCAGAGGCTCTCCAAGGAGGAGCATCCGCAAAAGAGAGCTGAGGAGGATGGGGAGAATGCGCAGGGTATGGCGAACATCGGGAAAAAGAAGCATGGAGGAAGGATAACGAATGACATTATGATAGCGGCGATGCCAGAAGAGGCAACAAGGAGTTATCGCTAAATTGTCGGCTTGACCTTCCTGCTATTCCGCCTGCGTGCCAAACTTCAAGGACCAAGGTGCATAGCGCGAAGCGCCACAGCAGTCTTGTATATATATATATATATATATATATATTATGCATATGTATGTGTATATGTATGTGTATATGTATATGTATATGCATATGTGTATGCATATGTATATGTATATGTATGTGTCTATCTATATATAGATGCGCGGTTCCCACTCGTGCCGCTCGATGTGCCCGCAGCTCGAAGCTCGGAG